TTAGTGGAGCATGAAGTCAGCAGGGGTCCAAGAAGGCAAATTGAGTGGACTGAGAGCTTCCTGGAGGAGAAGCCAGGAAGGAAGACTTCCAGCCAATCGGGAAGCTTCCTCACAAAGCCTGGGGTGTAGCCCAGCTTCGGAGAGCATTTCAGAATTGTAGGTATCGAACTCTGTCCTTACCGTGCTTCGTGCTTCGAGGGACTGTCATTGGCGCACTGGCTCAGGAGTCTCCCTCCCCGACAGCTCCTTAACCAATCAGCCGGGAATGAAGATGCAGGCGTCCCAGGTGTTCTGGTGAGAGGGCTGGAGGGTCCAAGGATGAATACGATCCTATCTGAGTTGCAGGCACCTGAACAGTTAAAAGAAAAAAATTATTCATGACACTTGTTAAGGACAGCAGGACCCTTTTACTAAAGAGGGTAATGCAATGGGTTTTTTAAAGTATGTTTTTATTGCCCGGCCAGTGTAGCTCAGTGGTTGAGCATCGACCCATGAACCAGGAGGTCATGATTCAATTCCTGGTGAGGGCATATCTCAGGTTGCAGGCTCAATCCCCAGTAGGGGGCGTGCAGGAGGCAGTCAATCCATGATTCTCTCTCATCATGGATGTTTCTATCTCTCTCTCCCTCTCTCTTCTTCTCTAAAATCAATAAAAATATATTTTTAGTCTTAGCCAGGTTTGGCTCCGTGGATAGAGCATCAGCCTGTGGACTGAAGAGTCTCAGGTTCAAGTCCAGTCAAGGGCACATACCTAGGTTGCAGGCCCTGGTCAGGGTGCATGTGGGAGGCAACCAATGTGTCTCTCTCACATCGATGTTTCTCTCTCTGTCTTTCTGCCTTTCTTCCTCTCTCTCTAAAAATCGGTGGAGTCCTGACCGGTTTGGCTCAGTGGATAGAGCGTCGGCCTGCGGACTGAAGGGTCCCAGGTTGGATTCCGGTCAAGAGCATGTACCTTGGTTGCAGGCACATCCCCAGTGGGGGGTGTGCAGGAGGCAGCTGACTGATGTTTCTCTCTCATCGATGTTTCTAACTCTCTATCCCTCTCCCTTCCTCTCTGTAAAAAATCAATAAAATATATATTAAAAATAAATAAATAAAAATCAGTGGAAAAATATCCTCGGGTGAAAATGAACAAAAAAAAACCAATTTTTTTAATTTAATAAAAAAATAAAATAAAAGTCAGTGGGTCTATCAGTAAGAGAAAATAAAGATTGGCTCACTACCTCTCACGTGCCTGAATCTTCCAACAACCTGTAGATACATTGCTGCTATGTGCAGACAGCCAAAAATGAAGATTCACATGGACAGTGACTTCAGTTACAGGATTCTTGGGATGATTGTAAAAAAAAAAAAAAAACAAGAAACACTTATGGAGAGCTCATAGACTATCCCTGGTAACGGGTGCAATCATTTTATAAGAATTCTCTCATTTAGTTCTCACAGTAAACTTGTGGGCTAATCACTCATTATTACTACTGTATTATTATTTTCCAGATGAGGTAAAAGAGTGAGATTAACCAATGCCATCCCAATAAATTCAATTAAAAGAAAGAAAGAAAAACATAGGGGCCATGTAGGGCTCAGCCCAACAGGCCTGAGCTGTTTGGAATAAAAGACTATGGGGCCTCTGGTTCTTTTCAATCCGTCCTTACAGTCCACTTCTGAACTAGCCTCCTGCCTCTCTGGCTTTTGTTATGCTCTCTGGACTGGGTCTCACCCCTGCATGGCTGTAAACCCCCCCCCCCACACATGGCCACGCTGCTCCCTGGTGATGGGGGGATGGGTGCTTAGCACAGCCTGCTCAAGTGGAATGCCACTTCCATTCCTTCTACTTGGACACCCAAATGCTGACCAGCCAGGAGGTCTCGTGCAGCCCTGCAGACTGGAGTGTGTACACGAGTCTGTCTCAGTCAAGTCTCAGCCCGAGCCCCTCAGCGCTTTGGGGGAAAAGAAGAATCAACGGAACCAAATAACCAGATAAATGGCCAGATGTGTATTCTCAGGGACTGTGAAAACAATATCAGTGCTCAGAAGAAGAAAAAAAATACCGAGACAGGAAAATGGACTATGACAGAGAAAATTATTTGAGAATTAGTGGTTTGACTGGGATGGGGAAATATTTGCTTATTTCCCTCCAGATGCATACCCAGTAATTCCACTGACTCCATCTCATATAATATTTATCATCAGGAGACACGATTTTAGTTTCTGATGGTGCATATGAAATTTCGTCACTATAAAACAAGATGATACAGCTCACGATGAGATGCTAGGACATGAATGTGACCAGGAGGCACACAGGAGGGGATGTGAAAGCAAATACACCCTCCACCCCACCCCGGGCCAGCAGCACAGCCTTGGCAAAATTACGAAATCTTCCCTGTTCCCTCCTGTTTGAGGAAAAAAGATGGTGAAATACTACCTGCAACGTCACTGTCTAGTATAATAGCTACTAGCCCTGTGTGGCTATTTAAATTAATTCTGAAATTTAAAAACTACAAACTCGGCTCCTAAATTGTTCTAGCTACATCTCAAGTGCTTGAGAGCCACACTGAGTTAGTCACCAATGCACTGGACAACACATACATACAACCGCCACAGAACTTCCATTGGACGGTGCTGGTTTATAAAAAAAAAGATGGATTGAAGATCATTTAAACGGTGCTGGGAACAAAGTACTATTAAAACAAATAACAGGCTAATAGTCAGGATTCTGAGATTTTTGAGTCTGTGAAAAGCCTGGTAGATAAGCCCAGTATATATGCTCCGAGTCTTTTTCCTGTGAAACGCTCAGGGGCTGTCAAAGAAATATCCATTAACAAATACATTTAGCAGAGGGAAGACTGAGACTTCAGAAGAACCGGCACTTCCAATTCAAAACTCAATAAATACGTAAAGGAGGACGTCGGAAAGTACTTCATGAGCAAAAATGATTTCAAGCTTCACAACATTAATTAGCTTAATTCCTATATGGCTAACTTTTAATACTGTAAATGCTATGAATTTTAAATGTTTTCCTGTCATTGATTATACATATGTAATATCACAACAGAAGGAAATACAGCTGATCTGGTACAATGAACTTCTATCTGATGTCCTTGCTAAATGTGCTTATTAAATCTAATAGATTTATTAGTCTCAATTTTTTGCTGTCTCCTAGTAATAACTCCTTTCCAATTCTAACATCTTTTTCTTTAATTTTTTTTTTTTTTTGCTTCGTCCCTTTTCACTGGCAAGGACTTGCAATAATAAATATAGACCATTCTGCCTTTCTATTTTTTTTTCAGAAAGCTTTCATTTAAAGAATTCGTCTTACAGAATCACTTATGTAACAGATTGATATGTATGTTTATTTCTGATCCTGTCATTTTAGTAATAAATGTGTCTCTAGAAATATGACCATTTCATATAGATTTTCTAATTTAATAGGCTAATCTCATTCCTGAAATTGTTTCATTATTTTAATGTTTTATTAATGTAGTGATACTATTTTTAAAATATCTGATCTTGGTTATTTGTGCCTTATTCATATATTTTCCTAATAAACCTCACCAGAAATTTATCAGTTTCAATAATCATTTCAACTAATAATAATCATCATCATCATTTCAAAGTATTTCATTTGATTCTGCCCCCTTACTTCATGTTTGTTTTTCTTTAATTAATTTCTTAACTTTATTATTGGCAAATCATTTAAAAATATAAATCTAGGATATAAAATTCCCTCCCAGAAATTTATTTTAGCAAACAACATCTAATAATATATAAAATGGTGATAGAGCACAACAAATTTATTCTTGGGAAAACGAAATCTTTAAAAAAAACAACAAAAAACCTATCAGTGCAAATAATCACATTAAGAGGAAGCACGGTAAGATCTCAAAACACTATTCAGAAAATTACATGATAAAATTCAGGATTACATTCATGATCAGTACCCTTACTTAGCAAAGGACTCTAAACCCTTTTTACTCAATGAATCAAATGCATCTGCAAAGATGACAAAGAGCTCACAGGTGGAGACTAAAAAGCACCGCTTCGAGCAGATGGCAGAGAACAGGCTGTGAAAGGCTGTCCCCCCACGAAGCAGCGCGAGCCTCGGGGAAAGAAAGGGGAGAAACAAAGGAGCCACCGCGAATTAAACCAGCAAAAGAAAATCAAAGCCGGGGGCACACGGGGCAGAGGGGCATTGATGAAGCCAGCTGCGGAGCTGAAGGAGGTCTGCAGCTTATGCACAGCATGGGGGAGAAGCCGGTCAGAAATCCCAATAAAACCGGCCCCCCCCCGCCCCCCGCTCCCCCGCTCCGAAAGGCGGGCTCCGATCACAAGCGCTCCCTGCTCGTGCCCCGAGCCCCGCGCCCCCCGGAGATCAGAGCATCCCCAACGCCAGCCCGCAGGAACTCCCAGAAAACACAGACCACAACACATCTCGTCAACAAAGCAGAACGATTAAAGCTTCCATCAGCGACAAAAACAAATAAATAAAAGAATCAAATTAAAATTCAAAAAGCCCCACATCGACATAATATGAACAGAAAATCCGTAACATTCACCTGTCAGATGTTTCAGAAACTACGAGGCGAACTTTTCAACATGGGGTGGGGTGGAGGGCCGGGAAACAAGGATTATGGTTTTTATGATTTTTTAAAAAATAGACACATGCATATGCACGAGCAAATGCAGTGTGCCTGCGTGAACGGCGCGATAGAAAAAATCAAAACCTCAGCGGGTGGCGATTGCATCCTCCGGCCGAGCGCGTCCGCAGCGCTGCAGCTGCAGAGCCTGGGGGGGTGATGCGGGGGAGGGAACCCAGCTGCCCGGAACAAAGCCGGCGCGAGGCTTTGTTCCCACGCCGGGATTTTTTACACACCGCGCGGACTGGTTAGAAGACAGCCGGTGTCCCCACCGGAAGTGTCCGCCGCGCCGGCCGGAGGAAGCCGGAACCAACAGCAACCGGAAGTAGAGGGCTGGGCGGAAGGAAAAAAAAGGCACACCTTCCCGTCTGGAGCTCCGGGACGGCTCCTTGGCCTCCGGGCTTCAAGCCCGCACGCAGGGGGCACCGGACACGTCTTGGCACCGTTTCAGGGGGCAAAAGGTGCAATGGAAGAGGCTGCAGCTCCCTCGGAGCCCCACGAAGCCGCCGGGGACGCAACAGATGCCCCGGCGGCCGAAGAGGCGGCCGCCGGGCCCAGCTACCGCACGCACCCGGTCTTCCGGCGTATAGAGCCTGGAGGCCCGCCCCCCATCGGCACGTCACGTCTGCGATTGGCCTACGCCTCTGTGGGCGGGGCCAGGCCCAGGGAAGGGCCGGGACCCAGCTGGCTGCAGAGCCAGCGGCGCCCAGGCCCCTGGACCAACCAAGTCGTCTGCAGGTATTTTCGCCATGGGATGTGCAAGGAGGGGGAGAACTGTCGCTACTCCCACGACCTCCCGGACCCGGAGGAGGCCGGGGAGGACCGCGGGTCGCCGCCGCCCCAGGCCCCCGAGGAGGAGCTAGGCCCCGGCGCGTTTGCGGCTGCGCACTATGAGCCAGAGAACCAGCCTCAGGAAGGGGCGTGGGCCCCGCCTCCTGACTCCTGGGGCGCCTTGCCTGCGATTTGCTGGGTCACTGACAGGGTCTCCTTGGAAGCCGAGACTGACGATTCAGCGCTCGGAGCTGTGGGGGGAGCAGGTGCGCACGGCTGGGCAGGAGGTGCGCACGGCTGGGCGGCAGATGCGCAACGCTGGGCAGGAGGTGCGCACGGCTGGGCGGCAGATGCGCAACGCTGGGCAGGAGGTGCCCACGGCTGGGCAGGAGATGCGCAACGCTGGGCAGGAGGTGCGCAAGGCTGGGCAGCAGATGCGCAACGCTGGGCAGGAGGTGCCCACGGCTGGGCGGCAGATACGCAACGCTGGGCAGGAGGTGCGCAAGGAGGTGCGCATGGCTGGGCAGCAGATGCGCAAGGTGGTGCACACGGCTGGGCAGCAGATGCGCAACGCTGGGCAGGAGGTGCACACGGCTGGGCAGGAGATGCGCAACGCTGGGCCAGAGGTGCGCAAGGCTGGGAAACTGGCGCGCAAGGCCGGGCAGCAGGTGCGGAAGGCCGGGCAGCCGGTGCGCAAGGCTGGGAAGCCGGTGCAGAAGGCTCGGAAGCCGGTGCGCAAGGCTGGGCAGCCGGTGCAGAAGGCTGGGCAGCCGGTGCGCAAGGCTGGGAAGCCGGTGCAGAAGGCTCGGAAGCCGGTGCGCAAGGCTGGGCAGCAGGTGCGCAAGGCTGGGCGAATGCCACTGAATTTGTTCCCGGGCAACCGTACTGGGGCCACGAGGCGTTCCCCGCCCCCGAGCTTCCCCAGCAGAACTTGGAGATGGAAAGGGAGCGGCGGCTCTGCCGCGACGCCGCCATGGGGCAGTGCTTCCGCGGGGAGAGCTGCGCGTATCTCCACGGCGAGCTATGCGAGCTGTGTGGGCGGCAGGCGCTGCACCCGGCGGATGCCGCCCAGAGGGCGGACCACATCCAGGCCTGCATGAACCGCCACCAGCAGGACATGGAGCTGTCCTTCGCCGTGCAGCGCAGCGCCGACAAAGTGTGCGGCATCTGCATGGAGGTGGTCTACGAGAAGGCCAACGAGGGCGAGCGCCGCTTCGGCATCCTCTCCAACTGCAACCACACCTACTGCCTCAGGTGCATCCGCACGTGGAGGACGGCCCGGGAGTTCAGGAGCAGGGTGATCAAATCCTGCCCGCAGTGCAGGGTCTCCTCGCGCCTGGTCATCCCCAGTGAGTTCTGGGTGGAGGATCCGGCGGCGAAGCAGGAACTGATCCGGCAGTACAAGGAGGCCATGCGCGCCAAGACCTGCAGGTATTTTGCTGTAGTCAGGGATTGCTGCCCGTTCGGCGAGAACTGTTTTTACAGGCATGCGGAGCCCGAGGGCCAGGGAGAGCAGGTGGTGGTGGAGGAGGAGCAGGCGCAGGCGCAGGAGGAGGAGCAGGCGCAGGAGGAGGAGCAGGCGCAGGAGGAGGTGGAGGAGCAGGAGGAGGAGGAGGAGCAGGAGGAGGAGGAGGAGCAGGAGCCTGAGCCTGAGCCTGAGCCTGAGCCTGAGAGGCAGGGTTCTGGGGCCTCCAGCAACCAAGAGTTGGAGCCTGAGCAGGTGGGAGAGGACAGCATGCCCTTTATCCACCGTCAGCGAGAGCTTGTCACGCTTTGGCTGGTCAGTCTGTGGTTGTGTAAGTGTTTCCTTTCACTGGGAGAGAATGAGCCTCCTTTTTATTTTTTATTTTTTTTATTTTTGTTGTTCCGAGAACCCGTGGGGACATGCTTCCTTGGGAAGGAGCGGGGAGGCCGGTGGGGGGGAAAAAGATTGCAACTTGAATCTGTGGCATGTGGTGTAGTGTGTTCACTGCTTCTGTGCTGACGCTCTACCATCCGCTGTTGCCTGTTGTTTTTATCTGCCCGTGGATAGACCCATCTGCCATGTACAGCAGCTGTTGAAGCCATTTCTATGGGTCACTCATCCGTGTTCTCGCCCATGCCCATTACTCTCCCCCTCCCCCCCCCCCCAGGAGTGTGGTGCTCCCCTCCCCCCAAAATAACACCAAGTCCTTTAATGTTATTGTTGTTTTTTTGGTGTGTGGTGTTGTGTTTTTTTTTTTTCTTGGTGCAATGCCTCTTGACTGTCAGTTTATGGTTTATTCTGTCATCTCTGTTTTCAACAGGATTGACTCAGTTCTAGGCTAGTGTTTACAGGACTTCCACACTCATTGTGAAGCCCCTCCAGAGTATGTGGGACAGGGTGAAGGGAGAAGTCTTAACTGAACAGAGGAACTTTGTGCTGCTACAGCCTTAAGAAACCTGGACCCACCCGGGGGGGGCCCTGTGGCAGCTGCTCTCTCGTCTCCGCTGTTTACATGTGTGTTTCTTCCCCGATTCAAGTGCACTTGCTTAACTGTGGCGACCTTGTGGTTTTTTGTGAACCAGGTATCTCTATGTTTACATGTTCTCATCCTGCTTAACTTGATGTGAAAGTATTTCTACTTGGAAGTATGTATTTCAGACTTGGCGTATCAATTGATGTGCGTAGAAGTGAGTATCCAAGTGATGTATTGAGCCCTGGCCGGTTTGGCGCAGTGGATAGAGCATTGGCCCGCGGACCGAAGGGTCCCGGGTTTGAACTCCGGTCAAGGGCACGTACCTCGGTTGCCGGCCTGATCCCGGCCTTGGTCTGGGCAAGTGCAGGAGGCAACCAGTCGATGTCTCTCTCTTTCTCTCTTTCTTTCTCTCTCTCTCTCTCTCTCTCTCTCATCGATGTTTCCTTCTCTCTCTGTCGCTCTCCCTCTCCCTTCCATTCTCTCTAAAAATCAATGGGAAAATGTCCTTGGGTGAGGATGAACAACAACCACAAAAAAGTTATTTATTTGAAAATGTCTCTATAAAGGATATATCGTATGATGTTTATGTAGTAAAGTAAATATTGAGCTGGAAGCTAAAGGTCACAGGCTAACAGAAATTCGCTGTTGTGTGTGAGTGTGAGGTGGTGAATAATTCTTGTGTTCCTTCCACAGGCGTCAGTGGTTAGCATCTGTTGAAAAAAGGCTATTCAGACGGATCTGGCCAAATACGGCACAGACCCTAAAGGACTTGCTAAATAGGCCGTTGGTTATTTCTGTGGTGGCTTGACTAGCTCACTCTGCTGTTACCAATAAAGAAATGTGTGTTTACAACCATCTCATTTTTCCTTATTACAGCGCAATTCTGAACACAGCTCTCTGTATTCCATATTTTGTGTTATCTCTAGACATTCCACACGAGGGGCTTTGGACAGAAGTTTTCAACATGTCACTGAAAAGCTTTTCAAAGAGCAAATAGAAAAATTAAAAAAAAATTGAAACCAGTCAGAGTACAAGATTGGAAAGGCAAAAAAATTGAAATCTAGAAATGAACAAAAACGAATTAAATGCAACAGTTATGTCAAAAGTTTAGAACACAAATACCCCATGATTAGATTGCATGAACATGTTTTAGAAACTAAAAGCCACAGTTTTCCAGCCTTGATTATAATGAAAATGAAACTCTATGCTGTTTAAAAGACACGGCTAGAATGTAAGGAACATTAAAAGCGATAGGATGAAAAAGAAATCAATCCAACAAGGAGGCTGTGACTTCTTATCGACAAAGTGTATGTTAAGGATAAAAGCATCCCTGGAGATAAATATAATTCAGTTAAAATGTGCCAGGAAGATAAAACTACCCCAACTCTGTAGTCATTTAATAACCCAGCATCAGATGCACAAATAAATAATCGGTAAGAATAGAAAAATTACAGTGTTTGAGTGAAAAATTTTTAAAAGTCTTTTCAGAACAAACAAGGAAAGAATGTGAGGTGAGCACACGGTTTTAACCATTGAGTGGACCTGTCGGAATTCATTGATACTGCTCTCCTCGGGGCTGACGGAGCTGAAAATACGCGTCCCGGGAGATTAGACATCTAACGTATTTGCAGAGCTTCTACCATGTACTTAGCGCTCAACAAAGCATGAGTTTAGTTCCCAGAACCCCCCCATCTCCCCCTGATTGTGTTTTTTTCTCATCATCCTGATGAGTCCAAGAGGTGAAATTACTTGCCGATATCACTGTGGCCCATGGGTGTAAATTACCTGTAGGTACTCGGTATCTTTCCAGGCCACAGACACTGTGATCCCCCAGGTACATGGCCACAAGCAGGTGGAACACGTGACTCTAGCCACCGGAAGCACACCTGCAGTCTCTGAGTGGGGATGGTGTGCCAGGTGGGACAGAGGGGGCCATCACGAAACTCCAGGAGAGTGCGGGAGTCCTGGGCTTTCTCTGTGGGCCGCCAGACGCAGTATTTCTTGGTCCACTTCGCAGCCTCCCGTACGTTTACGCGGCCTCTCCCCTGTGACGTGCCGCCGACGATAAGTTAGTATTCAGCCTGTTGTCCCTGCGACCCTTGCCATAGCCCTTCCCTCTTGATTCCTTCTTATCCAGAGAATTCCCCCACCAGGAGGCCCTGGTTGCCTGGCTGTTACTGGCATGCAGGGTGAGTGGTTCGACGTGAAATCTAAGCGTGTGCCCACCCCCAAGGACTGAGCTGATGCCAAAGGCTCAGTGAGCTTGGAGCGGTGGCTAAGCTGTCAGAGGGGGATTTTTAAACAACCCGAAAAGCTCAGAGAACTCTGTTCTAACGTACGCTACCTGATGCTGTGAAATGTCACGGTTTTTTATTCCCATAGAATCTTGCACCAGATAACGATCATGACGTTCAGGAGGGGCCGTGGGAGCTGGGTTCGTAGAAGATAAAATGTTCAGGCAACAGAATCCCGACTCGGCTTCTCACCAGCCATGCACTCAGGGGCACGTTAGCTCCATCGTCTGCACCTCAGTTTGTTCGTGTGAGAAGTGGGTACAACAGCACGCGCTCTGCAGGGGTGTTGTGAGGATCAAGTATGATGAGGCAAGGAGCTTGAATCCTGTGGTATTGTTTAAAACGGCAGTTTTGAAAGTGGGACTTAGGTATGTTTGTGGAACTGATCAGAGCTGACACAAGAATTGACAGTCCACTACGTTTTTTTTTTCTTTTTTTCTTTTTGGGAACCTTTGGAACTGGAATTAATGTAACATTATTCTTTTATTATTATTTTCATAGAAAGGGGTCTCATTCCCTTTTGGCCATAATTTCAAAGAGACCCAAGTAATTCCCCCCTCCCCACTCCGCCCCCCGCTCCCCAGCAAAAGCCATCCAAGTAGAACTAAAATGCTATTCTATTCCTGAAAATATACTACACAACAAAAATGTTTTCTTTAGGATGGATGCCTACCTGAGTCAAATAAGAAATAGGTGATGTTTACCAATAGGAAATTTCCTGTCCCTCATCAGCTCGATCAGAAAGAGGTTCATTAATAGGGATGTCCCTGACCCCAAGGCTGGGTGACATGTCCCCAGGGCCCATCCATGGAGACAACTGGCCGCCCTTGTTGGGGTCAGGAACAAAGGACCCTTCCCCACACACAGAGCTTTGCTCTGAGGGATTCAGAGAGGGTGTGGGCCCTTCCTCCATGAGGACTCATACACTCAGCCCTGGGGTCTGTACAGAAGGTTTGATTGTAACCACATGCAAAATGCCCGGGTGAAGCCAGTCTGACTTGCCTACACTTGGAGTGTCTCAAGTTGGTAGGTGTATAGACTTACAAAGATGCTAAAACTTTATGTGGTACTCTTTCCTCTCTAAGCCTCGCCCATCACTGTTTGATGGATGGAATTTCAGTGATGGGAAGGGAAATATTTCCAGTTCATAAACTTCTTTTTTTTGGTAATTTTTGTGAACAGTTTTTTTTTGGGGGAGGCTGGTCTCTGTTTCTATAGATGATGCTAAAGTACAACCCTCTCCATAGAATAGAGTTGGGGTGTAGATGGGGAGAGGGGTGCTTGGGAAATGGCCCAGCATTAGTGCCAAAAAAAAATACATCAGAATTTTTACCATGAAAATGTAGACTAAATTCCATTTTCCATGTTGAATGACAGCTAACAAAAATAATTGTATTCGATCACAATGAGCCTGTCGATGGAGATGGAGAAATTAGTAGTATAGGTGACATTCTCTGATGTCGATACAAGGAAATAAGCGACCGCCACATGACAATTCTTTTAAGTATCTCTCAGAAATAATTTGGTCAAAGAATGAATGAATGCAGAATCATTCAGCAGGATAGAGTAAGTAATTAAAAATGATGCACGCCATGATCTACAGCAGGGGTCCTCAAACTTTTAAAACGGGGGGCCAGTTCACTGTCCCTCAGACCATTGGAGGGCCGGACTATAGTTTTAAAAAAAACTATGAACAAATTCCTATGCACACTGCACATATCTTATTTTGAAGTAAAAAAACAAAACGGGAACAAATACAATATTTGTATTTGCGTGTGGCCCGTGGGCCGTAGCTTGAGGACCCCTGATCTACAGGATAGTGCTGGTCTGTGCTCAGAGTGAAACCAACTTTAAATACGAATACAAAATGCATTGCCCAGAAAGACCAATTACGTAATAAAATAAGTATCCAAATCTGTAAACTTTAAAGACGCAACAACATACACGCAAGCACACACACACATAATCAGAAACAAGATTAAAGCAAAAATTAGTGGGTTAGGAAACAGGTATGTAAAAGCTGCTTCTTTGGAAAAAAAAATCAATAAACAGATAATGTAGTAACTTGACCAAAAGTTAAAGGAGAAAGTAGAGCTGTCCCTAAGGAAGACATCTGTATCACTTTCAACTGCTTCCGGGCAACAGTTCTGACAGGTCACACGTAAGCAGGACATAGCTGTACCTGGTGGTCAGCTACTTTCTCTAGACAGTTGCCCGGAAGTTGGTTCAAAGCCCCAACATTCATTGTCTGAAGCCGGACAGCATGGATGGACCCGGAGAGCCTTGTGCTAAGGGAAGTAAACCAGTCAGAGAAAGAACATGTACCACCTCATCTCACTCCTACGTGGAACAAAATGAACTAGCAAGCAACGTGGAGACAGACGCATGGACACAGAGAACAGACTGACGGCTGTCGGAGGGGAAGGACGTTGGGGGCTGGGTGAGAAGGGGGAAGGGATCGAGTCAATGGGGAAAAAAAAAGACTCATGGACACAGACAACAGTGAGGTGATTACCAGAGGAAAGGGGGAAGATAGGAGACGGTAAAGGGGAGATAAATGGCCATGAAAGGGGGTTTGACTTGGGACGGTAAGGACACGAGACGAAATACAGATGACGTACCGTAGAACTGTATTCCTGAAGCCTATGTAATTTTATTCACCCATGTCACCCCCATGCATTAAAAAAAAACAAATAAATAAAAACCTGCGACATGCCTTCATTAATGTGAGCTGCCTGTTGTTAGCCGACCCACAGCAATGAACTTCAGTCACTCTTGTCTCTGTCTCCCACACTCTGACCCATTGACTCATGTCATTTCATTCAGGAGCATCTCAGAATTTTTCTCCCATCACCTCTACCCACTTCTCTCACCTCCCACTCTCTACCCCTGGAAACCACCACCAACCTGTTGTCTGTTTCTATGAGTTTGGGTGGTTTTTTTTTTAAATTGCACATATACATGAGATCATACAGTCTTTGTCTCTAACTTCCTTCCCTTGGCATAAGGCCTCCAGGATCATTCAGGGCTTTACAAATGGCAGGATTGCCTTGCATTTGTTTATGGCTTAATAATATTTCATTGTAGGACATAATTTATACCAAAGTATAACCGGTATACACACACACACACACCCCCACACACACACCCATGTGATCCGCTTTATGAAAAGTGTTGGAAAAATGTAAAAATAAAGATTAGAGAAAAAAAATCCGAGTAAAAATATTGCTGCATTTTTATACTTTTGAATAAGTCAAAGGGAAGTAATCCTGTCAGCTTGGATCAGGCCCAAACAAGGAGGTCCCTTCTCTTTACTGACAGTGAA